GTTAATTTAAAGCACTGTGCCTGTGTTATAGAATGATCTTACAGTGGTGCCCCGCAAGACGAATGCCTCGCAAGACGGAAAACCCGCTAGACGAAAGGGTTTTCCGTTTTGGAGGTGCTTCGCAAAACGAATTTCCTATGGGCTTGCTTCGCAAGACGAAAATGTCTTGCGAGTTCCTGCAGGGTTTTTTCCCTCCCCCCCCTTTTTCCCAAGCCGCTAAGCCGCTTATCAGCTGATCCGCTAAGCCGCTTAACAGCTGATCCGCTAAGCCGCTAAACAGCTGATCGCTAAGCCGCTTATCAGCTGATCCGCTAAGCCGCTTATCAGCTGATCCGCTAAGCCCGCTAAGAGCGCAAATCCGCTAATGGGCTTGCTTCGCAAGACGAAAAAACCGCAAGACGAAGAGAATCGCGGAACGGATTCTTTTCGTCCTGCGAGACACCACTGTATTACAAAGCCAGTGGCATATGTACCTGACTTGATATATGAATATTTGAGAATGTTGGCATGGCTGAAATTTCCCACTGTGTCTTAGGAACAGAGCCAATCATAAGCCCAGGTCTTTGGGCGCTTGTTCCAACACTACGGTTTAGTTTGCAACACAGAGTGCTTTACATTTGTGTCTGCACCTTGCTAGTTTTGATTTAAGTTGGCTTCTGTGCAATGGAAGCCAACAGGGTTTTATATTATACTCTCTCGTGTTTTAGTTTTGTGCCATTCTTAGTGCAATCCAGAGAAAGTTTTGTTTCAACTCTTTCTCAAGAGTGTTAGGAAACTATTTTCTTCTTTGGCTAGGCCTTGGTGTGTTTGAACAGAAAATGCTTTGTAAATTTTATAAACAAAAAGAATTTAAGAACATACTAATTTTACTTCACTGTTTCCTGTAAGACAAAACTAAAGACCAAATCCAGAGGAAAAACAGAGGGGAAATATCTGAAAAGGTGCTGAAGAAAACAGGGGTATATGTTTTTTAATTGCCCAATGCAGTTTGAACTTGCCATGCTCTCCTAAGTCTGTTCTCGTTCCCCCTTCGGAAAACTCTTTTTATGACAAAACAGATAATTTTACAAATTAAAGTCACCAAGCAAACTTTTAATGCGTACTTCATACTGCTGGATAGCTGCCAAAACAATGGCAATTATTTGACAATTATTCTTGATATTGGCATGTTTGTGTATATTATTGCCCAATCCTTAAAGAGATTTATCCCGTATCTTAAGGAAAGCAGCAGCCAAAACAACAGTGAGGGAATAAGACTTGTTAGTATGGTCTTTCTGCTGCACAAAAACTTCATTTCACCCCACCACACATCTCTTTTCCAAAGTTATGTCAACAGCGTCTCCTTTGAGTGGCCCAGGGGCAGCCAACATGGCACCCTCCAGAAGTTGTTGAGCTACAACTCCCATCAGCCCCAGCCAGCATGGACAATGGCCAGGAATTATGGGAACTGTAGTCCAGAAATACAGTGGTACCTCGGGTTAAGTACTTAATTCGTTCTGGAGGTCCGTTCTTAACCTGAAACTGTTCTTAACCTGAAGCACCGCTTTAGCTAATGGGGCCTCCTGCTGCTGCCGCGCCGCCGGAGCACAATTTCTGCTCTTATCCTGAAGCAACGTTCTTAACCTGAAGCACTATTTCTGGGTTAGCGGAGTGTGTAACCTGAAGCGTATGTAACCTGAAGCGTATGTAACCCGAGGTATCACTGTATTTCAAAGGCACCAAGCTGATTACCCCTGGAACAGATCACTATAAAGAGCAATCGTGTCAGCTCTGCAAAGTAACAGTTTACATTTGACACATATTCTATGCCTTGCTGTTTCTTATGCAAAGCCTTGAAAGGGACTCTTAGGAATTCTGTTTAACATATTTGTGGAAACGAGATAATGAACATTCCACCAAAGTCAAGAACATTACCCCAATAAGGCAAAGTGGTGTGCTTGGATAACAGTGCAGAGTTTTTCATTTGTTTTATTTCAGTTTGCATGCTTTTTGACAAGATGGTTTCCTGTATCTTGTTTTCAGTTGCTGTTGTGATGGATCAATGCTATTTTCACAATAGGTACTTAAAAGTTGCTTTGTTTTTAATTTCCTACAGAGGCAATTCAACTGAAAATAGTATCTATCATGCTGACATAAAGGAAACTAAGAGTACACTACCTCATCAAGGCACTGAAAGGCAGGACATGTGTGCACGTCAATGGAACCTTCATCCCGAATATTAACTGTTGGAGCTGTGGCATAAATAGGATCTTCAGGATCCTCTGGTTCCAATTCTGGTTCAGATTGTTCTTCTGACTCACTGGAAACATACTCTTCTTCTTCTTCTTCAGAATCATCCCTTTTCCAAACATCTGCAAAAAGTACCAAAATCCACATATCAAATTTTGATCGTTATGCAAAATAAATTAGAAGCATAGCTGTCAACTTACAGATTTGAAAATAAGAGACCAGCAGCCTCAAAAATAAGGGATCAGCAGCCAAAATAAGGGCTCAACAATTACTTTTATAAAATACATATTTTGTTGCGTGCAAATGGCTTTGGATAACTATTAGGTCCATAAATTACCATATAGCATATATTCAACACAAAAAAACAGCAACAATTTGTTGTTGACAAAGCAAGCTGGACATATCAAGGGCCCCATTACCTTCAGTAACTTATTTAAGAGACATCATTAATAAGGGACAGCAGCAGGACATGGCGCTGGAATAAGGGACTGTCCTGCCAAATAAGGGACGCTTGACAGCTATGATTAGAAGATGAGAGCTGGAGATGAATCATGGGATGAGGTTACACATATCAATAATGGGGAACTCCAGAAGAAAGCGGAGGGGAAAGGGTGAGGGATAGCTGAATACAGTCAATATCTGTGCATAGCTGGGAAAGTTTTGTTAATGAATTAACAACTGAAATGTTTTGACTGTGCACTAGTAATACTAATAAAAGCAATAATTAGGAAAACAAGGAATAACTCTACAAAGTGTCTGTCTTCAAAGACGGTCCTCAGAAGTATTCATAGACCGCCATAGTGAAGTCACTAACCCACTTCCCTATCCACAACATCAAGGAATATCAATGCAGTTAGATACATCCTTATAAATATTGCCATATGCAAGTCTAGCATTGACCCAATTCAAGAAATCAAGGCAGATCTTAAACTCCCAGTACCTTCCAGTTTTCAGGGATCAGGACTATGTTATGTGAAATCTACAATGCATCACACACTAAATAATTTGTGTTAGCCAATAACTAGGTGGCATAGTCATTACCTTCAGAGCTCATTTTCCTTGCCTAAGCAATTGCAGTCACTAGGACTGTGGAGTTCCAAACTGATCTGAAATTAAATCAAAGAATTTATCATTATACTTTTCCAAGTATACTTAAATTGGAATGCAGATGAATCAAAGCAGAATACATTAGTTGATTTACAAAGCATACCACAGCAATTTAGCATTAGGATGCAATCTTGCTACATCTGTGTGTGTTTTCTTTTTCAAAGAACACCACGGTCTATGGGTCAGCAAAATCTTTGAAGGCTACAAGTGTAAGCTGGCCTCTAGTGCTATTTGGATTTTCTTCAAGGACATTCTGCTTTACAGAGAAATTTCAGCAGCTGCATTTGCTCAGGAATTCAAAAAACACAAAATAAAATCTAACCCTGATGATGCCTCCTACAGAAATCAAAATATTATGTAATCAGCTGCAATCAGCATAAATTTAATATATTACATAAACATGGGCATATAGTAATCAAAAAAAGATTTGAATACACATAATATCAGTTATAGTTACTAAATATTTATTTCAATTGTACCTCTATGGACATGTCGGTAAGCTTCATAGGTTCATGAAAAGATTTGTATCAAAACACACCCCATGCAAAAAGCAAGTACAGTGGTGCCTCGCAAGATGAAATTAATTCGTTCTGCGAGTTTTGTCGTCTTGCGATTTTTTTCGTCTTGCGAAGCACGGTGTCGGGAAAGTTTCGGAAAAGCTTCAAAAATCACCAAAGTCTTTAAAAACCTCAAAAAAGGCTACCACACTGCGTTCTATGAGTTGCTCCTCGAAATCAAGTCGCAACTGTATTAACGGTGTTAAAAAAAAGGAAACAAACTTGCAAGACGTTTCCGTCTTGCGAAGCAAGCCCATAGGGAAAATCGTCTTGCGAAGCAGCTCAAAAAACAAAAAACCCTTTCGTCTAGCGAGTTTTTTGTCTTGCGAGGAATTCGTCTTGCGAGGTACCACTGTACAAACTTAGGGTTGTCTATTAAACATTTGGGGCAGTAGCCAACAAAGTAGTTCCATTAGTGGAAGGATTTCTGTTTGTGCAGCAGAACTTTGCCTCCTTCTCTCCCCACGTGCACCCCATACTTTCTCCAAATCTGCTCCACTGCATTGAGGAGGGAAACCCAAAACAGATTTAGGGGGCACACAGGGCAAGAAGATAGTGGGGAAGTTCAATTGTACAAAGAGAATTGTTGCGCCAACCCAACTTTGTTGGATACCACCCTTCATGTCCAAGGTGTGGGTTCAATGCATGGCACGGGCAGCATGGGATTGGGGAATGCCTGGATAAGAAAATGTCCTCCCATAACCTGCACAAAAAAAGTATAATTAATTTATTCAAAAGCAAATTTTATTTATCACTTAACTGGAATAAATTTGAAGACCCTTTTTTTCAACTGAACAATGTATTTTAAACATTCAACGGCAATAAGAAGAATACATTTCATTTTCAATTAATTCACATTACATGTTAATTGCCATACACCTTCATCATTTTACATAATATGAATATATTATTTCTGCAAATTCCCCACATCTAACCCTGCAACCACCTCCCCTTATAACCAAATGCCCGTGTGACTTCCTTTACCCACAAGTGATATCCAACTTATTACTTAATAGAAACCTCTAACATTGTGTTCATTTTTATTCATTACAATAGTCATTCATCTATTAAAAAGAGAAAAAAGAGAGGAAAGCATAACTTCTTAACTTAATGGGTTCAGTCTATACTTATCCAGGGATTTCTAATAGAATGATTTTGTACAGTATATTCTTCAACACATTTCCATTCCTTTCTTAATTTTTGTTTTGATTGCAATCTGATTGATGCTGTCATCTTGGCTAGTTCAATATATTCACAAAATTTAATTTGCCACTCTGAGATTGAAGGAGTCTCCTCACTCTTCCAATTTTTGGCCACCAGTATTATAGCGGCCACTGTAGCATACAAAAAAACTCTAAACTTATCCTTGGGAATGTCTTCTGAGACTAGTCCAAGAAGAAATGCCTCAGATCTTTTTTGGGAAGGTTATTTTAAAGATTTTTTTTCAATTCATCGTAAATATTGTTCCAGAAGGACATAATCTTGACACAATTCCACCAAATGTGGTATAATGAGCCTTCAACCTTTTTACATCTCCAGCATAGATTTGAAGGTAATTTATAATTTTTTGCTAATTTAACTGGGGTCATGTACCACCTATAACACATCTTCACGATATTTTCATTAATAAAAATTAAAAAGAAGAAGAAGAATACATTTCATAGGCCTTAGGACATTCTTTTTTTCCTTTCTCTTTGATCTAATTGTAGAAATGCCAAAATAAAACTGACTACTTTCCATTTTAAAAAAACCTTTGTTTTATCTTACATGCCAACCCTCTTCTGCCGTTATGTAAAAGGAAGTCCCTTTACACACTTTAGTGGGTTTGAGAGCAGAATGATAGTTTCAGCTGGGGAGGGTTAGCATTCTGCTTGTCATTTCATTGGGGCGGGGAGCCTGTTTATGAACTCAACAGGCATCCCAGGTTACGCATTTCAGCCTGCAATTGATGCCTAGCAATATTCTGTAACCATTTCATAGAAATCTAGTTATGTTATCAAATATTGTGAGGTGATATGCTACTGGTGAAGCAAGAGTAACCAATGAAGGCCTTAAGTTTGAAAAACGCATTATATTGTAGCCAGTATAGTAAGTTGCAGCGTGTGCTAGGTTGCAGTCCTATTTTATACTCGGTTACTGTATTTATTAGGGACGCGGGTGGCACTGTGGGTAAAACCTCAGTGCCTAGGACTTGCCGATCACATGGTCGGCGGTTCGAATCCCCGTGGCGGGGTGCGCTCCCGTCGTTCGGTCCCAGCGCCTGCCAACCTAGCAGTTCGAAAGCACCCCCGGGTGCAAGTAGATAAATAGGGACCGCTTACCAGCGGGAAGGTAAACGGCGTTCTGTGTGCTGTGCTGGCTCGCCAGATGCAGCTTGTCACGCTGGCCACGTGACCCGGAAGTGTCTGCGGACAGCGCTGGCTCCCGGCCTATAGAGTGAGATGAGCACACAACCCTAGAGTCTGGCAAGACTGGCCCGTACGGGCAGGGGTACCTTTACCTTTAAAGTATGCCCATCTTACAGTAAAGCAGCTTCCTCATCACATTCTAGGTATACAGTATTTGTAATTCATATCTGGACAAAAAGTTAAGTACTTTTCATATCATAAGTATACCAAACAGAATTTTATATGCTCATTGCTAAGTAAGAACATACCGACACCCACTACAAACTACTTTTATAATCATCCCACCACTCTGGCAACTCTCAGAACTATTCTGCGATGGGGAAGGGATTCTGTAGCAGAAATGTTGCCCGACTACAAAGTCTACAGGCCTATATTAGTCTACTCAGAAGTAAGTCCTGCTGCAATTTAAGTTGCAGTTGTATGCATTGTTACTTGGGAGCACATTTCATTGAACTGAATGGACCTTGCTTTTGAGTAGACACACACAGGATTGAGCTATTGAAGTAACAAATAACATTTAGGTTAGATATCTAACTATTGCATATATTTCATTTTTTCTGGAAAAAACATCTGGAAGATGTTGCATCTCTATATTTGAATAGTAATGATGAATATATTTTTTTACTTCATTAATATATCGTTCCTCCTGGTTCAGCAGTCGTAATCTGTGAGTGAAAAAGGGTTTTAAAATGTCCTTCTGAATGTGAGCCCTAGAGGGTGCCACATGGATGAAAAGTTCTGAGTTTAGTAATCTGAACTAGGTTTTAAAAATAAATATAAATCCATCCTACCCTCAGGACCACAAAGAGCATGCAGTGATTTGACAGTGTTGCTTATTAAAAGGAGTCAAATTATGCCACCTCCTACACACATACACAAAATGTTACCAAAATAGCTGGAAACTGAAAATGGTGATGGGGAGTGTTGAACTTTATGGAGCTCATGTTACATTTTTAAGCTTTATGTTTAGAAACTCAACTACAGAAAAATGCAAATGAATCACGACACTTTTCCATACTATTAATGGAAATTGTACTGTTGTCTTCTTTCTTCTCAAATTGTAGATCCTTAAGTTCAGCCTGACTTTTCATAAAAGCCTGCTATAATTCTTCATCTTTTCTGAAATGGTTGCCAAAGAAAGTAAAAAAAAACCACCTCAGGTTCCTCTAAATATTTAATGAAACATCACTCTCATACTGAAAGCAAAAGAATGCTAGATTCCAAACACACTATATTAAATAAAGATGTTCTTTTCTTTTTTAGGAACTTAACCTTGAATTAAAACCATGCCTCCAAGTTATTTACATATGAAAAGAAAGGGAAGGTTGGAGCAGCCTAAACCTGATTTCGCTGGTAAGGTTTCTAATTTGCTTCAAATAATTGTGCAAGAAGTATTCAGTACAATGAATCTGAAAGTCACAAAAACTTAAAAGGAACTGGTGTTGAACAAAAGTGTTGACAGTCTAATTTAGTCTTCTTTTTCCAGCAGCAGCTAGGAGGGTCTTCTGGGAAGTACAAGGGGGTTTGGAGGTGATAGCCCCTCCTGTTGTTTGTCCCAGCATCTTCCCATCTCCATCAGCATGTAAACGATGTTTTCATGCGCTCTGGTTTCCGTCAGAAGCGCCAGAAGTGGTCTAGTCCTGCTGGCCACATGACCCGGAAAGCTGTCTGTGGACAAACGCCGGCTCCCTTGGCCTGAAAGTGAGATGAGCACCGCAACCCCATAGTTGCCTTTGACTGGACTTAACCGTCCAGGGGCCCTTTACCTTTTTAAACCTTTTATTACCTATGAACATGGAGGTTTCATTTACCTATACAGTGGTACCTCACAAGACGAATGCCTCGCAAGACAAAAAACTCGCTAGACGAAAGGGTTTTTTGTTTTTTGAGCTGCTTCGCAAGACGGAAACGTCTTGCAAGTTTGTTTCCTTTTTCTTAACACCGTTAATACAGTTGCGACTTGACTTCGAGGAGCAACTCATGGAACGCGGTGTGGTAGCCTTTTTTGAGGTTTTTAAAGACTTTGGTGATTTTTGAAGCTTTTCCAAAACTTTCCCGACACCGTGCTTCGCAAGACGAAAAAAATCGCAAGACGACAAAACTCGCGGAACGAATTAATTTCGTCTTGCGAGGCACCACTGTAATAACCAATACAGGTTAAGTCAATTCCTTGTTACTGGCCCCAAATTCTGGAACATAAAGGAAGATTGTATGCCTGTAAGATTGGAGTACACACTTACACCTGCCTGGCTGATGTGATGGAGTAACACAAAGAGAAATTAGGAAGAAATTACACTCCATTTCCTGTTAAAGCATACTTGCATTCCCTGGTAGCAACTAAAGTGTGCTTACTAAGAAAATAGAAACTGGACACAACTACATCAATGAAACAACAGTTCAAACAAATGAGGAGACATGCAGTACACTCCTATACAAAGTAAAGGTAAAGGGACCCCTGACCGTTAGGTCCAGTCGTGGACGACTCTGGGGTTGAACGCTCATCTCGCTTTACTGGCCGAGGGAGCCGGTGTTTGTCCACAGACAGCTTCCGGCTCATGTGGCCAGCATGACTAAGCCACTTCTGGCGAAACAAAACAGCGAACGGAAACACCGTTTACCTTCCCGCCAGAGCAGTACCTATTTATTTACTTGCACTTTTTTGCGTGCTTTTGAACGGCTAGGTTGGCAGGAGCTGGGGCCGAACAACGGAAGCTCACCTCATTGCGGGGGATTCGAACTGCTGACCTTCTGATCGGCAAGCCTAGGCTCTGTGGTTTACAGTTACACCACAGCGCCACCCACGTCCTATATAAAGTAAGCCACACTATATTCAGTGAGACTTACTCCAAGATAATAGAACTTCATATGACAATGCAAAAGCCTTCAAATGACAATGCAAAAGCTCAACTACTAGTATCGGAAAGCAGTGGCGTAGCGTGGGTTGTCAGCACCCAGGGCAAGGCAAGTAATTTGCGCCCCCTAACCCGTGGATTTGCGCCCCTTAACCTGTGGATTTGCCCTAACCCCAGATGTTGCGCCCGGTGTGGCCGGCCCCCCCTGCACCCCCCACGCTACGCCACTGTCGGAAAGCAAGGGGAATAGATTGACCACACTTTATTTGCAACCCAAGATAGAAATATTTCTTACTCTCATAAACAGAGAGAACACATTAGGGGGGGCCAGATGAAAAAGAGGCCAGGGCTCTTGCACCTTTAAAAGTTGTGTAGGAGAGGAAATTGAATTGGGTGTCATTTGTCCCTTTTCCCATCTGGCCACCCAACTGCAAGTGCAGTCTTTGAGAAACCCTTTCAGCCAATTCCATGGGGCTGAGGCTCCTTCGCCCCCCCCCCCAATAAAATATTTGAGGGGTGTGTGCCCCCCCCCAAGTTGATGAGCATTGCCATTCAAATGGGGCATGTGTGTGTGTGCTGCATCTTGTGGGGCAGGGCTTACCTGGGCCACCCCCAATATTTTATTCAAGCTGCCCCCCCCCCACTTGGATGGGGGTGGCCATAGGTATACTCAGGGTGGTCTATATGCGGCTCCCAGCTAGTTACCTGTTCAGCCCCCGCCCCCCCCCCCAGGCAGGTTTAGCTTCTCCGAGGTTTGCTCGCCTCCTCCAGACCCCCCCCCCCCGGGAGGAAGCGCTTTGGGAAGGAGGGGATGAGGTGGAACTCGGTTCTCTGGGCTGCTTGTGCCCTTGAAAGACATTCGGGGGGGGGTGAATAAAGTTCCAGACGCCATTGCTCCGCTTCCTTCTCCCGCGTCATTGCACTGAAGGGGGTCGGTCTAGATGACCATCGGGGGTCCCTTCCATCTCTTCCAATCCCACGACTCCTCCCCTCGCGCCCAGAGCAGGCTTCCTTCCCTCCTTTCCAAACCAGCTCGCGCCTGCTCCTCCTTTACCTTCCCCGCGCGGCCCCGCTCCCTCCGGGGAAACCTCGACGCCGCCGCCGGAGAGGCTGGAGCCCCGTCAGCGCCCCGCGTTGCCATGGAGACCGACTCTCCTCTTCCAAGTCCCGCCCTCCGCGCTTCCTATTGGCTAGCCGCAAGGTTCCATCCTGTCCTGAGGGAGGCAGGGAGACATCCGCCTCCCCCAGCCGCTCATGGGCCAAAGCTTCCCCGGGAGGCGCCGCTCAGCTTCCCGGGACTTGTAGTTCGGCCTTCAGGCTCCTTCATCGCGCCGACGTCAGCAGGGAACCACAATTCCCAGCAGCCACCTCGGCGCCACTGGACTGGCCAATCGCTGCTAGTACAGCTCACCGGTTCTGCGCTTGTTGTTTTGAAACTTCCAGGATGGGTTTGTAAGTGGGCAGAGGAGGGAACCCCTAATGCAGATGCCTCTGCCCTGAAGGGTCTTGGGGAGGGAGGGAGGGAGGGAGGGGGTGCCCCACGCCCAGCCCAGAGCCTGGAGCCCAACTTCTCCCCTTGCACTTTGATTTTTTTCTTTGCAGGGCTGGGTTGTTGCGTGTCAGAAGGACCCACTGAAGCAGCCTCAAGGCGGTGCAGGATGCGGCCTCTGCCCCCAAGAGGCTGGTGCACGGCAGCGAGGACAGTGGCCGGGAGCTGGCATCGGCTGTTGAAGGGCGGAGGCGTCCCTGGGCGAAGGTCGTGGGCTGGCAGCTGCCAGCAGCCTCGCTGGTTTGCTGCCAGTCCTTGTCGCTGCAGCAAGTCCGAAGCGAGCAAGCGGAAGGGCAGCAAGCCTCTCAAGGAGTGGACTCTGGTTGTGGGCCCCTATGGCCTCCTGAAGGCACGGCTCCCTTGCCACGTCTCTGTGCACCCTCTGGGACCCACACAAGTACCCCCAAGCGGACAGGGTGTTCGTGACGGTGCGTGGGGCGACCGCTGGCCCCGCGCAGGGTGCAGATTTGGATAGTTTGCATGTGAAGTATGATGAGGTGCGAAAGGAGATTACGATAATCTCGGAAGACATGGACGGTGCAGCCTCTGTGGACGTGAGGACCCCCGTAAAATTTGGTATGTGCAGCAACTGGTCAAAAAGAGGCACTGCTGTGACATTTAACTGAAGTGCCCCATGCTCTGTGGTGAGCGGTTAGGGTGGCCGTTTCTTCAGCTGTGAATCTCAGTTTGGCATGTCATAGTAGATAATGTGGCCCATTCAAGTTGCTACTTTCCAGCTTTTGCAGATACAGTGGTACCTCGGGTTAAGAACTTAATTCGTTCCGGAGGTCCCTTCTTAACCTGAAACTGTTCTTAACCTGAGGTACCACTTTAGCTAATGGGGCCTCCTGCTGCCACCATGCGATTTCTGTTCTCATCCTGAAGCAAAGTTCTTAACCCGAGGTACTATTTCTGGGTTAGCGGAGTCTGTAACCTGAAGCGTATGTAACCCGAGGTACCACTGTAAGAGGCCCAATGTTGCTATTGACAGGAGTCATAATGTTCACTACTGCAGCTCAAAAGCTTCTGCTGCAAGGCCAGAGTTCAGGAAGTTGCCTTGGCAAAATTAGGAACACTGTCTAAATCCCAGCTGTTTAGTCAGCTCAGCTTGTCTCTTGCCTGCTACTATCACCAGGCCAAACCCAGAAAGCATCTTTTCCTTTCTTTGGCAGTTATTATGGTGAAGTCACTTGGTGGGAAACTTGCATTCCAATCCTGCCTTTCGCAAAGCTCAACATGTAACCTTGGGCCAGTCACAGTTTTTATTAGTCTCACAGGTTTATTGTCAATAAAATAATTAGATAAGCTCCATATATGCTGTCCTTGGAGGAAGAGTAGTGTACACATGTCATAACAATAATCATAACTGCTAATAATTTGGCTCACTAACCTGGGTATATTTTAAATATATTCCTTGTTCTTCCTATACATCACTGTAATATGTATTTTTTCCTTAACACTTCAGATGCTGACTAATTGTTTGTTTGTGGGACTCAGGACATACTTTGAAAGTGGGATGCTTCTTTTTTCACTCTGTTACATTGTTTTGCTAAAGGAAATAAAAATTTTCGATTGCTTGGCCTTGCATTTGTTTGTTTATCTCCAGACTTGGATATCAAGACAACAGGGAATGGCTGTGTGAAGACTGAGAAAATTGAATGTAACAGCTGCAGAATAGAGACAGAAAAGGGAACGAGCATCTTGCGGTCAATAAAGGTACCAGTATAGATACAAGAGTACAAGAGTTGTGTTTTCTATCCTCTTGTATATATTTTTTGCAAGTCTTTTCCTGGGACCTCTCCTGCAACTGCATAACAAGCAGAAATTCAGAGCTGGAACTCTTTCAGCCATGCAGATATAATTGTGAGTCCTGCAAGAATTAATTGACGTATCATTTTCCATAATAACAGCCCAGAGATGCAGGTGAAATCCTAGTTAGGGCCCATCATAACTATCTTCAAAAAAATAAGAACTGAACTCTTTTAACATGTGTACAATTCTGTTTCAGAGTCAGAAAATTGACATTCAAGCTAAAGGAGGGAAAGTTATCTGCCTGGGAACTCTTCAAGGAAATGCTGATATTCATGTGTCACAAGAAAGTGTAAGCATTTTTAAAATGTATGGACTACAATTATTTGGGTCACCTATAAAATACATTGAAGAAATACATTACAAAATTATGGGCTTTTAAAAATCTTCGTGAGAATATGTGTCTTCACTTTTTCAAGTTCTGTGACTATTGCAGGGGTTTTTTCAAACAGAGGCTCTGTGTCTTTGACAGCTGTGGGGCAGGCAAAAATTCAGCAAGTACAGTGCTCCTTTCATTGTCTTCTCTGGCTGGGAAAACTGCACCTGCTTGCGTTGTAGTTAAAGTTATAGAGCTACATTGGATAGACCAGGGTGTGGAGTGGAAAACCTATTTGTAGAACTAGCAGTGCCTATTGTAAAGCAAATATTATTACATTTAGCATCAAGGCCGGCCCTACTGTGAGACAGAATGAGCAGCTACCGTCAGGTGGCAGATGCTGAGGGGTGTGGAGTGGACAGAACTGTGTGTGCTCTTCATGTCCTTCTCCACACCCCTTAAGAGACCCTGTTGTCTTCAGATGCAATGGTGGAATTCCGTCGCATTGCCAGTTCTTGAACTAAGGCCCCATCTGTGCCATACATTTAAAGCAGTATCATACCACTGTAAACGGTAATGGCTTTCCCTTCAAAATCCTGGAAATTTTAGTTTGAGCGTGCTGAGAGTTGTAAGGAGGCTCTTATTCCCCTCACAGAACTGCAATTCTCAGAGTCGTTTAACAATCCTTCTTCCCAGGAAACTCTGGGATCTTTAGTTCTGAGAGGGGAATGTTGTTGTTGTTGTTTAGTCGTTTAGTCATGTCCGACTCTTCGTGACCCCATGGACCAGAGCACGCCAGGCACTCCTGTCTTCCACTGCCTCCCGCAGTTTGGTCAAACTCACGTTCGTAGCTTCGAGAACACTGTCCAACCATCTCGTCCTCTGTCGTCCCCTTCTCCTGGTGCCCTCCATCTTTCCCAGCATCAGGGTCTTTTCCAGAGAGTCTTCTCTTCTCATGAAGCTTCAGGATCTGTCCTTCCAGTGAGCACTCAGGTCTGATTTCCTGAAGAATGGAGAGGTTTGATCTTCTTGCAGTCCACGGGACTCTCAAGAGTCTCCTCCAGCACCATAATTCAAAAGCATCAAATCTTCGGCGATCAGCCTTCTTTATGGTCCAGCTCTCACTTCCATACATCACTACTGGGAAAAC